AGCCTCATCAAGCCCGTGATGAGGCTTCGAAGGTTAGTTGATTGCGCCACGACTTAGATTTGATATATCACGCTATTGTGATCGCTGCATGTATTCTATAGAGGTGCTGGTTGTAAACTGTTGTTCTGAATGATGGGAGGAAGATGTTGCCCTCCTGATTGTCAGGCCCTGAAGGTGATGCTATAAACATTATCTTTTGAAGATGACTGCGTTCCTTTAGAGATGTTTTGGTTATGTTATCTTAACAGTGTTGTCTTAATTATCATATATTGACACTTATCTTGAAGATGTGCCGAATTAATGTCTTAATAAATAATTACTTTACGCACTCTGTAACACTTTAACTTGTCCAGTGTTTTGTGTTATTATTTTTATTATTAATTATATTATTATTATTATTATTATTTCTGTTATTATTGTTATTATTATTATTATTATTATTATTAAGGATAGTCACACACACACATACAATCCTATAGCAGTCATCAGTATACAAGTGGTAGCAGCTGAGGTAGTGATGTAGGGTGACACTGACGACCTCAGAGTCATCAGTATACAAGTGGTAGCAGCTGAGGTAGTGATGTAGGGTGATACTGACGACCTCAGAGTCATCAGTATACAAGTGGTAGCAGTTGAGGTAGTGATGTAGGGTGATACTGACGACCTCAGAGTCATCAGTATACAAGTGGTAGCAGCTGAGGTAGTGATGTAGGGTGATACTGACGACCTCAGAGTCATCAGTATACAAGTGGTAGCAGCTGAGGTAGTGATGTAGGGGTGACACTGACGACCTCAGAGTCATCAGTATACAAGTGGTAGCAGCTGAGGTAGTGATGTAGGGTGATACTGACGACCTCAGAGTCATCAGTATACAAGTGGTAGCAGCTGAGGTAGTGATGTAGGGGTGACACTGACGACCTCAGAGTCATCAGTATACAAGTGGTAGCAGTTGAGGTAGTGATGTAGGGTGATACTGACGACCTCAGAGTCATCAGTATACAAGTGGTAGCAGCTGAGGTAGTGATGTAGGGTGATACTGACGACCTCAGAGTCATCAGTATACAAGTGGTAGCAGCTGAGGTAGTGATGTAGGGGTGACACTGACGACCTCAGAGTCATCAGTATACAAGTGGTAGCAGCTGAGGTAGTGATGTAGGGTGATACTGACGACCTCAGAGTCATCAGTATACAAGTGGTAGCAGCTGAGGTAGTGATGTAGGGGTGACACTGACGACCTCAGAGTCATCAGTATACAAGTGGTAGCAGCTGAGGTAGTGATGTAGGGTGATACTGACGACCTCAGAGTCATCAGTATACAAGTGGTAGCAGCTGAGGTAGTGATGTAGGGTGATACTGACGACCTCAGAGTCATCAGTATACAAGTGGTAGCAGCTGAGGTAGTGATGTAGGGTGACACTGACGACCTCAGAGTCATCAGTATACAAGTGGTAGCAGCTGAGGTAGTGATGTAGGGTGATACTGACGACCTCAGAGTCATCAGTATACAAGTGGTAGCAGCTGAGGTAGTGATGTAGGGTGACACTGACGACCTCAGAGTCATCAGTATACAAGTGGTACCAGCTGAGGTAGTGATGTAGGGTGATACTGACGACCTCAGAGTCATCAGTATACAAGTGGTAGCAGCTGAGGTAGTGATGTAGGGTGATACTGACGACCTCAGAGTCATCAGTATACAAGTGGTAGCAGCTGAGGTAGTGATGTAGGGTGACACTGACGACCTCAGAGTCATCAGTATACAAGTGGTAGCAGCTGAGGTAGTGATGTAGGGTGATACTGACGACCTCAGAGTCATCAGTATACAAGTGGTAGCAGCTGAGGTAGTGATGTAGGGTGATACTGACGACCTCAGAGTCATCAGTATACAAGTGGTAGCAGCTGAGGTAGTGATGTAGGGTGACACTGACGACCTCAGAGTCATCAGTATACAAGTGGTAGCAGCTGAGGTAGTGATGTAGGGTGACACTGACGACCTCAGAGTCATCAGTATACAAGTGGTAGCAGCTGAGGTAGTGATGTAGGGTGATACTGACGACCTCAGAGTCATCAGTATACAAGTGGTAGCAGCTGAGGTAGTGATGTAGGGTGATACTGACGACCTCAGAGTCATCAGTATACAAGTGGTAGCAGCTGAGGTAGTGATGTAGGGTGATACTGACGACCTCAGAGTCATCAGTATACAAGTGGTAGCAGCTGAGGTAGTGATGTAGGGTGACACTGACGACCTCAGAGTCATCAGTATACAAGTGGTAGCAGCTGAGGTAGTGATGTAGGGTGACACTGACGACCTCAGAGTCATCAGTATACAAGTGGTAGCAGCTGAGGTAGTGATGTAGGGTGACACTGACGACCTCAGAGTCATCAGTATACAAGTGGTAGCAGCTGAGGTAGTGATGTAGGGTGATACTGACGACCTCAGAGTCATCAGTATACAAGTGGTAGCAGCTGAGGTAGTGATGTAGGGTGACTCAGAGTCATCAGTATAGTAGCAGCTGAGGTAGTAGGGTGACACTGACGACCTCAGAGTCATCAGTATACAAGTGGTAGCAGCTGAGGTAGTGATGTAGGGTGATACTGACGACCTCAGAGTCATCAGTATACAAGTGGTAGCAGCTGAGGTAGTGATGTAGGGTGACACTGACGACCTCAGAGTCATCAGTATACAAGTGGTAGCAGCTGAGGTAGTGATGTAGGGTGACACTGACGACCTCAGAGTCATCAGTATACAAGTGGTAGCAGCTGAGGTAGTGATGTAGGGTGACACTGACGACCTCAGAGTCATCAGTATACAAGTGGTAGCAGCTGAGGTAGTGATGTAGGGTGACACTGGCGACCTCAGAGTCATCAATATACAAGTGGTAGCAGCTGAGGTAGTGATGTAGGGTGACACTGGCGACCTCAGAGTCATCAGTATACAAGTGGTAGCAGCTGAGGTAGTGATGTAGGACGACACTGGCGACCTCAGAGTCATCAGTATACAAGTGGTAGCAGCTGAGGTAGTGATGTAGGGTGACACTGACGACCTCAGAGCAGGATGTACAACCATTTTTGCATGAGAGCTGCGAGGGCATTAATTAAGGTTTATCAGTGCCTCGTGTTCGTCCGCCTGATATCGGCGTGAGCGCTCTCTTGACGTTTCAAGAGAGCGAGAAAAGTTTCTTGTCGTTGGGAAATTCTAGGAGAACGGGCTGCCTGCCTGTGTATACCGGCTTGCCTGGTGGCTGGCTGGGTTGTTGTTGTTTTAGATTCAGTTAAACTCCTACGGGCTATGGTGATCCCGTAGTGGACTTACCTGGCACAGGAGCGGGGCAAGTAGCACGGGCTATGGTGATCCCGTAGTGGACTTACCTGGCACAGGAGCGGGGCAAGTAGCACGGGCTATGGTGAGCCCGTAGTGGACTTACCTGGCACAGGAGTGGGGCAAGTAGCACGGGCTATGGTGAGCCCGTAGTGGACTTACCCGGCACAGGAGCGGGGCAAGTAGCACGGGCTATGGTGAGCCCGTAGTGGACTTACCTGGCACAGGAGCGGGGCAAGTAGCACGGGCTATGGTGAGCCCGTAGTGGACTTACCTGGCACAGGAGCGGGGCAAGTAGCACGGGCTATGGTGAGCCCGTAGTGGACTTACCCGGCACAGGAGCGGGGCAAGTAGCACGGGCTATGGTGAGCCCGTAGTGGACTTACCTGGCACAGGAGTGGGGCAAGTAGCACGGGCTATGGTGAGCCCGTAGTGGACTTACCCGGCACAGGAGCGGGGCAAGTAGCACGGGCTATGGTGAGCCCGTAGTGGACTTACCTGGCACAGGAGCGGGGCAAGTAGCACGGGCTATGGTGAGCCCGTAGTGGACTTACCTGGCACAGGAGCGGGGCAAGTAGCACGGGCTATGGTGAGCCCGTAGTGGACTTACCTGGCACAGGAGCGGGGCAAGTAGCGCGGGCTATGGTGAGCCCGTAGTGGACTTACCTGGCACAGGAGCGGGGCAAGTAGCACGGGCTATGGTGAGCCCGTAGTGGACTTACCTGGCACAGGAGCGGGGCAAGTAGCACGGGCTATGGTGAGCCCGTAGTGGACTTACCTGGCACAGGAGCGGGGCAAGTAGCACGGGCTATGGTGAGCCCGTAGTGGACTTACCTGGCACAGGAGTGGGGCAAGTAGCACGGGCTATGGTGAGCCCGTAGTGGACTTACCTGGCACAGGAGTGGGGCAAGTAGCACGGGCTATGGTGAGCCCGTAGTGGACTTACCCGGCACAGGAGTGGGGCAAGTAGTACGGGCTATGGTGAGCCCGTAGTGGACTTACCTGGCACAGGAGTGGGGCAAGTAGCACGGGCTATGGTGAGCCCGTAGTGGACTTACCTGGCACAGGAGCGGGGCAAGTAGTACGGGCTATGGTGAGCCCGTAGTGGACTTACCTGGCACAGGAGTGGGGCAAGTAGCACGGGCTATGGTGAGCCCGTAGTGGACTTACCCGGCACAGGAGTGGGGCAAGTAGTACGGGCTATGGTGAGCCCGTAGTGGACTTACCTGGCACAGGAGCGGGGCAAGTAGTACGGGCTATGGTGAGCCCGTAGTGGACTTACCTGGCACAGGAGTGGGGCAAGTAGCACGGGCTATGGTGAGCCCGTAGTGGACTTACCCGGCACAGGAGTGGGGCAAGTAGTACGGGCTATGGTGAGCCCGTAGTGGACTTACCTGGCACAGGAGCGGGGCAAGTAGCCCGGGCTATGGTGAGCCCGTAGTGGACTTACCTGGCACAGGAGCCGGGCAAGTAGAACGGGCTATGGTGAGCCCGTAGTGGACTTACCTGGCACAGGAGCGGGGCAAGTAGCACGGGCTATGGTGAGCCCGTAGTGGACTTACCTGGCACAGGAGCGGGGCAAGTAGCACGGGCTATGGTGAGCCCGTAGTGGACTTACCTGGCACACGAGCGGGGCAAGTAACACGGGCTATGGTGAGCCCGTAGTGGACTTACCTGGCACACGAGCGGGGCAAGTAGCACGGGCTATGGTGAGCCCGTAGTGGACTTACCTGGCACAGGAGCGGGGCAAGTAGCACGGGCTATGGTGAGCCCGTAGTGGACTTACCTGGCACAGGAGCGGGGCAAGTAGTACGTTCTATGGTGAGCCCGTAGTGGACTTACCTGGCACAGGAGCGGGGCAAGTAGTACGGGCTATGGTGAGCCCGTAGTGGACTTACCTGGCACAGGAGCGGGGCAAGTAGTACGGGCATTGGTGAGCCCATAGTGGACTTACCTGGCACAGGAGCGGGGCAAGTAGTACGTTCTATGGTGAGCCCGTAGTGGACTTACCTGGCACAGGAGCGGGGCAAGTAGTACGGGCTATGGTGAGCCCGTAGCTTACCTGGCACAGGAGCGGGGCAAGTAGTACGGGCTATGGTGAGCCCGTAGTGGACTTACCTGGCACAGGAGCGGGGCAAGTAGCACGGGCTATGGTGAGCCCGTAGCTTACCTGGCACAGGAGCGGGGCAAGTAGTACGGGCTATGGTGAGCCCGTAGTGGACTTATCCGGCACAGGAGCGGGGCTGTAACTGCTGACTGGGTTGTGTTTCCACAGGACGCCATGAAAGAAGCCTCGAAGCACCTCTTCAACATCTCCAACCACAAGATCTACTTCAGAAATATTACCATTGTCTTGCCCAAATATTGGACTATGACGGATAACGTTTACAATGCCACCACTGCTGAGAACTTTAAGGTTGGTTGACATGTATCTGACCTGTCATAAGCTGGCCAAGCTTATGACAGGTCAGTGAAATACTATAAAATATTCCTGTTTTATAACTATGCTCTCTCCAAAATGCATTAATATCACACCTGACAATATCAAATATAAATATCTATTCATAGAATAGATTTTGTAACCACAAATTGTATATTGTTAGGTGTATAATATGATTGAGTCGTAGTTTTGAAAACGACTCCAATTTTCCTGTAGGAGAGTGACATTCGCGTGGCCCCAGAGAACAGCATCTATGGGGACCAGCCCTACACCCTCCAAATGGGGGAGTGTGGGCGCCCCGGCCTCTACACCCACGTTACTCCAGCCTACCTCACACACTCCCACTTCGTTACCTGGTGGGGACCCAGAGGTAGGTAAACTATCTGCTTCACAATATATATTATATAACTCAGCCTATTAGGCAAATCGGGCCTTGCATAGTAGGCCGAGAAGTGCGTTCTGGCTACTAGGTACGACAATATATATATATATATATATATATATATATATATATATATATATATATATATATATATATAACTGAAAACTCACACCCCAGAAGTGACTCGAACCCATACTCCCACAACTGGTATGTACAGGGACGCCTTAATCCGCTTGACCATCACGACCGGACATAAGGAAGTGATAGCCGAGGCTATATGAACCACTTCCCCGCCGGCACTCGGATGGTAATCTTGGGCATAGCATTTTATCAAATCACCTCATTCTTTGGGGCACACGTGAGGAACACAAATGCAAACAAGCCTGAATGGTCCCCAGGACTATATACAACTGAAAACTCACACCCCAGAAGTGACTCGAACCCATACTCCCACAACTGGTATGTACAGGGACGCCTTAATCCGCTTGACCATCACGACCGGACATAAGGAAGTGATAGCCGAGGCTATATGAACCACTTCCCCGCCGGCACTCGGATGGTAATCTTGGGCATAGCATTTTATCAAATCACCTCATTCTTTGGGGCACACGTGAGGAACACAAATGCAAACAAGCCTGAATGGTCCCCAGGACTATATACAACTGAAAACTCACACCCCAGAAGTGACTCGAACCCATACTCCCACAACTGGTATGTACAGGGACGCCTTAATCCGCTTGACCATCACGACCGGACATAAGGAAGTGATAGCCGAGGCTATATGAACCACTTCCCCGCCGGCACTCGGATGGTAATCTTGGGCATAGCATTTTATCAAATCACCTCATTCTTTGGGGCACACGTGAGGAACACAAATGCAAACAAGCCTGAATGGTCCCCAGGACTATATACAACTGAAAACTCACACCCCAGAAGTGACTCGAACCCATACTCCCACAACTGGTATGTACAGGGACGCCTTAATCCGCTTGACCATCACGACCGGACATAAGGAAGTGATAGCCGAGGCTATATGAACCACTTCCCCGCCGGCACTCGGATGGTAATCTTGGGCATAGCATTTTATCAAATCACCTCATTCTTTGGGGCACACGTGAGGAACACAAATGCAAACAAGCCTGAATGGTCCCCAGGACTATATACAACTGAAAACTCACACCCCAGAAGTGACTCGAACCCATACTCCCACAACTGGTATGTACAGGGACGCCTTAATCCGCTTGACCATCACGACCGGACATAAGGAAGTGATAGCCGAGGCTATATGAACCACTTCCCCGCCGGCACTCGGATGGTAATCTTGGGCATAGCATTTTATCAAATCACCTCATTCTTTGGGGCACACGTGAGGAACACAAATGCAAACAAGCCTGAATGGTCCCCAGGACTATATACAACTGAAAACTCACACCCCAGAAGTGACTCGAACCCATACTCCCACAACTGGTATGTACAGGGACGCCTTAATCCGCTTGACCATCACGACCGGACATAAGGAAGTGATAGCCATTCAGGCTTGTTTGCATTTGTGTTCCTCACGTGTGCCCCAAAGAATGAGGTGATTTGATAAAATGCTATGCCCAAGATTACCATCCGAGTGCCGGCGGGGAAGTGGTTCATATAGCCTCGGCTATCACTTCCTTATGTCCGGTCGTGATGGTCAAGCGGATTAAGGCGTCCCTGTACATACCAGTTGTGGGAGTATGGGTTCGAGTCACTTCTGGGGTGTGAGTTTTCAGTTGTATATAGTCCTGGGGACCATTCAGGCTTGTTTGCATTTGTGTTCCTCACGTGTGCCCCAAAGAATGAGGTGATTTGATAAAATGCTATGCCCAAGATTACCATCCGAGTGCCGGCGGGGAAGTGGTTCATATAGCCTCGGCTATCACTTCCTTATGTCCGGTCGTGATGGTCAAGCGGATTAAGGCGTCCCTGTACATACCAGTTGTGGGAGTATGGGTTCGAGTCACTTCTGGGGTGTGAGTTTTCAGTTGTATATAGTCCTGGGGACCATTCAGGCTTGTTTGCATTTGTGTTCCTCACGTGTGCCCCAAAGAATGAGGTGATTTGATAAAATGCTATGCCCAAGATTACCATCCGAGTGCCGGCGGGGAAGTGGTTCATATAGCCTCGGCTATCACTTCCTTATGTCCGGTCGTGATGGTCAAGCGGATTAAGGCGTCCCTGTACATACCAGTTGTGGGAGTATGGGTTCGAGTCACTTCTGGGGTGTGAGTTTTCAGTTGTATATAGTCCTGGGGACCATTCAGGCTTGTTTGCATTTGTGTTCCTCACGTGTGCCCCAAAGAATGAGGTGATTTGATAAAATGCTATGCCCAAGATTACCATCCGAGTGCCGGCGGGGAAGTGGTTCATATAGCCTCGGCTATCACTTCCTTATGTCCGGTCGTGATGGTCAAGCGGATTAAGGCGTCCCTGTACATACCAGTTGTGGGAGTATGGGTTCGAGTCACTTCTGGGGTGTGAGTTTTCAGTTGTATATAGTCCTGGGGACCATTCAGGCTTGTTTGCATTTGTGTTCCTCACGTGTGCCCCAAAGAATGAGGTGATTTGATAAAATGCTATGCCCAAGATTACCATCCGAGTGCCGGCGGGGAAGTGGTTCATATAGCCTCGGCTATCACTTCCTTATGTCCGGTCGTGATGGTCAAGCGGATTAAGGCGTCCCTGTACATACCAGTTGTGGGAGTATGGGTTCGAGTCACTTCTGGGGTGTGAGTTTTCAGTTGTATATAGTCCTGGGGACCATTCAGGCTTGTTTGCATATATATATATATATATATATATATATATATATATTAATGTCTCTCCTACTCTGACAGGGTAAGATAGCTGCTATAGAAACTAATGTGTTATTAAGCACTTAACCACTGAAGGGGATTAAGATGTTTTTAGAAGCTCACGTTATATAGTTACATCACATACATTCTATAATTGATTCATTACATGGTCAATCTTGGGTACAAGTCCAATATATCATCGTGTTCCAGTATTGATATAGTAGTTACAGAGTTCAGCGTACCTCAGCCCAGGAGGGCGAAAGTCAGTCAATATAGGACATTCTACAATATAATGTTCAAGGGAGTGCATGTTTTCTCTTTCACAAAGTTGACACATTGTGTACTCGACATTTGGGTTTTGAGAAAGCTGCCACATACGTCTATATCCCAGGCATATTGTGGCCTTTGTTCTAGCAGTGAAGTCGACGATTCAGGGAGGAACTTACATGGTCAATATTTCTTGTGTATAAGCACACAAAACCATCAGTAAAAATCGTGTCAACATTGGTATTTTATTATGAACAAGGAATAAAAAATGGCAAAATCTTTGCGAAAATCAAAATCTTCTTCAAAATCAATATTTATTGACTGCGCGAGAAAATATATAGTGTGTATTCGCATTATTCAGTGATGACAGAGTTTATACAACCTATAAAACATTTAAATTTAACAGTAAAATTTTGAGCCACCATTCTGGAGAGGCTATCCTGAAATCTGTGCATGTAGCCTCTTGGGTTGCTTTTTAAACGAAAACAGTTTAACTTTGGTGCCGTCTAGCGTAGGAGTTGGTCACAGGGTTGACAATGTTCCAGGGCAGGTGTTGACGGAGGAGTGGGCCAAGCTGAGGTGGGGCGTGTTTGGTGTTCCAGGGCAGGTGTTGGCGGAGGAGTGGGCCAAGCTGAGGTGGGGCGTGTTTGATGAGGTGGGCTTCCCGAGCGATCCCAGGTTCCCGCTTTTCTACTCCGCCGGCCGCAACGATACCAGACGCCCCACTCTTTGTTCCCGGGAGCCTCTCCCTGGTACTGTGAGGAACGACACCCTCCGCTCTGCTTTCGTTCTCCACAAAGCCACCTCCCTGGGTCATGCGGTAAGTCTGTTTACCAACGGCGTCGAGTCTGTTTACCAACGGCGTCGAGTCTGTTTACCAACGGCGTCGAGTCTGTTTACCAACGGCGTCGAGTCTGTTTACCAACGGCGTCGAGTCTGTTTACCAACGGCGTCGAGTCTGTTTACCGGCCCGTGAGTCCATTGATTAATGAGCATAGAGTAATGGGCTGTGTCTCCTCAGGGCAACTACTGCACCAGTGAGACCCACATTATAGAGGCGCCTAATAAACAAAACACGTACTGCCATGGCGGGAGCATCTGGAGTGTGATACACAAGCACAGCGATTATAAGGCCAGGTGAGTGTCGGGCCTGGCGTGAGTGTCGTGAGCTGTGAGTGTCGTGAGCTGTGAGTGTCGTGAGCTGTGAGTGTCGTGAGCTGTGAGTGTCGTGAGCTGTGAGTGTCGTGAGCTGTGAGTGTCGTGAGCTGTGAGTGTCGTGAGCTGTGAGTGTCGTGAGATGTGAGTGTCGTGAGCTGTGAGTGTCGTGAGCTGTGAGTGTCGTGAGCTGTGAGTGTCGTGAGATGTGAGTGTCGTGAGCTGTGAGTGTCGTGAGCTGTGAGTGTCGTGAGCTGTGAGTGTCGTGAGCTGTGAGTGTCGTGAGATGTGAGTGTCGTGAGCTGTGCGTGTCGTGAGCTGTGAGTGTCGTGAGCTGTGAGTGTCGTGAGCTGTGAGTGTCGTGAGATGTGAGTGTCGTGAGTTGCGTTATGAGTGCTGATTTACGACTACCATGACCTGGTTTATGGGGACAACGAACAATGATATGGCATCATATCTCAAGAACATTTTACTATTTAATAATTTGAAGCAGGGATGTTCTCGGACGTAGGTTCGAATCCTCGTCACGGCCCTTGTAGATTTGCTCATAATTTGAGGTGTTCAACATATAAAACAAGATGTATATAATGAACAAATCCACAAGGACCGTGACGAGGATTCGAACCTGCGTCCGGGAGCATCCCAGACTCAGCTCCGTAGCTCAGTCGATTAAGGCAGTGTCTAAAATGTATATAACATGTCCCTCTGTGTGTGTGCGAACAGCCCAGGGCCTGGGGTCGAGTGGCAGGAGCCGACTGTAAGAGTAGTGAGGGAGATCAGCACCTGCTTCTTCTTCTTCCTCGACAACACCGCCAGTGCCTCCGACCTGCTGAGGCAGAGTCTGGCACTCAGACGCTGGGTCATGTACGATGTCTCCAACGGCACCTTCGTCACCGTCTTAAATCCGTGAGTAACTACTCCCACCACCACCAGGAGGGTTCCTGTGCGGGCTTGGAGCCCAAACATCTCCACTCTGTGTTGCTTGTCCTAAATAGTGCCACCATTATTTCTTCACTCACATATATGCGTATATATATATATATATATATATATATATATATATATATATATATATATATATATATATATATATATATATATATATAATTTAAAATTGAATTTGAATAGACTTGTCTAAGGATCATTCCAAGTTGCGATTAGATAGATGCCCGAAAAGGTTAATACTGTAATTAACAGCGATTAATCCAACCATGGGCACTTCTGAAGGGGGTACTAATTAAAGGATAATGTCATAGAATGTCATTAATGTCATGTATCTATTGACGTGACACATGATAATGTCATATGTATCTATTGTGGTCAATAGATACATATAATTCTAGTGAATAGACGTATTAGATGAAAGGCAATGACTCCCATTAATGTTGTTGTGGAGAGCAGGTGGAGAAACGGGAAGGTGGTAAACATGAAAATCGTGGACCAAGCCACTAGACTCGAGGTGGCCCTAGAGATCGCTGAGATGGACCACGGCAACCATACCTCCAACTCCAGTCACTCACTCACGCCTGCTGTTAAGGTGAGTGCCTTACACGTCCTGTGTGGTGGGTACAGTGTTGGGTGTATGCTGTGTTGTGGGGCTGTGTACGGGTAGCTGTGTGTGTGCTGTGTTCGGGTAGCTGTGTGTGTGTGCTGTGTTGTGGGGCTGTGTACGGGTAGCTGTGTGTGTGTGTGTGCTGGGTTGTGGGGCTGTGTTCGGGTAGCTGTGTGTGTGTGTGTATGCTGTGTTGTGGGGCTGTGTACGGGTAGCTGTGTGTGTGTGTGCTGTGTTGTGGGGCTGTGTACGGGTAGCTGTGTGTGTGTGTATGTGCTGTGTTGTGGGGCTGTGTACGGGTAGCTGTGTGTGTGTGTGTGCTGTGTTGTGGGGCTGTGTACGGGTAGCTGTGTGTGTATGTGTACGGTTGGCATCAGTACTGATGGTGCTAAACAGGTCTGTGACGTGTGTGTGTGTGTGTGTGTGTGTGTGTGTGTGTGTGTGTGTGTGTGTGTGTGTGTGTGTGTGTGTGTGTGTGTGTGTGGGTGTGTGTGTGTGTGTGTGTATCCTATGTAACACTCAATGTCTGTGATGGTCCTGTTTAACAGTCTGTGCCAATTCTCGCTGTCCGACTAATCCTATATATTTCACCTATATACATTATTGCTCTCATAAGTGCAGAAAAAATGAATCTTTACACGTATATATTAAAATAAATATCAAACAGTGGATTTTTGCCGTAGCCTATCGGCAAAATTTAGTTTTAACAAATCTATGTTGTGTTGGTTTTATAAGATTGTGAGACGAGTGATTCCCTCCCTTAGGATTCTCTCCCTGAGCTAGCTGATATGTAAGGTCAGTATTGATGTTATTAGAATTGGTTTATTATAAGTTTTAAAGTGTTAATTGTGTGGCTATATGTTTCAGGCGCTGGACTGGAGTAACGGTGTTTTGGTGGCGCTGGCTGGCGGCCGCGGGGTCGCTGTAGAGGAGTCTATCGCCCGGAAGATCAAGAGGGATATCCGTGTTGTGGTTATCACTCACAGGTCTGGCACTCACCTGCGGTGTGTCACTCACTCACTCACAGGGTGTAACGGGGGGTGGGGGAAATAGTTATCTTTAGTCCATTATTCCCCCCCCCCCCCCAGTTAACTAACGAGGACGGGGGAAACAGCTCTCTTTTGCAGGCGATGAGTCACAATAACGTGGCTAAAGTATGATGACCAGACCACACACTAGAATATGAAGGGACGACGACGTTTCGGTCCGTCCTGGACCATTCTCAAGTCGATCTCAAGTTTTCATACATCGACTTGAGAATGGTCCAGGACGGACCGAAACGTCGTCGTCCCTTCATATTCTAGTGTGTGGTCTGGTCATCAGCTCTCTTTTGTCCGTTATCCCGTCCCCTAGTTAACTATTACTAGAGTCCCCCCCCACCAGAGTCCCTACTGCAACCTTTCTAGTTCAACACCTGGGGCCAGATTCACGAAAGCACTTACGCAAGCACTTACGAACCTGTACATCTTTTCTCAATCTTTGGCGGCTTTGTTTACAATTATTAAACAGTTAATGAGCTCCGAAGCACCAGGAGGCTGTTTATAACAATACCAACAGTTGAATGGAAAATTTTCATGCTTGTAAACTGTTTAATAAACGTAACCAAAGCCGTCAAATATTGAGGAAAGATGTACACGTTCGTAAGTACTTGCGTAAGTACTTTCGCGAATCTGGCCTCTTGTGACCTAGGTATTTGATTACCTAGGTGTCACGACGCAAGGCATCGTAACTTGATTAGCTACCCGCAACTCCAGAGAAACTCCAGACAACATTTCACTGCCCCAAACGTATTAAAGAACCGAAAGGGAAAAAATGGATAATGAAGTAATTAGTGAGGAACACACACAGAGATCACACTAACGTGATGCATCAAATGAACAAATCCACAAGGGCCGTGACGAGGATTCGAACCTGCGTCCGGGAGCATCCCAGACACTGCCTTAATCGACTGAGCTACGACAGGGTAAAAGGGTTGAAACCGAAGTTCTACTGAACTTACTGGATCCCGTAGCCTCTCTGAGGCACAAACCAGGATTTTACACAACCCCCCCCCCCCCTGCACGAGGTTTGTGCCTCGGACAGGCTACGGGATCCAGTAAGTTCAGTAGAACTTCGGTTTCAACCCTTTTAACCCTGTCGTAGCTCAGTCGATTAAGGCAGTGTCTGGGATGCTCCCGGACACAGGTTCGAATCCTCGTCACGGCCACTTGTGGATTTGTTCATTTGATGCATCACGTTATTGTGATCTCTGTTTGTTCAACCAGCAAGCTTGGTGTTGGTCTTAAGATTAGAACTCTGATAATTATTAGAATTAGCCTCCACGTGTTAACATTTAAGTCCTTTATAAAAGAAATGCAGTCTCCGTGGTGTAGTGGTAAGACACTCGCCTGGCGTTCCGCGAGCGCTATGTCATGGGTTCGTATCCTGGCCGGGGAGGATTTACTGGGCGCAATTCCTTAACTGTAGCCTCTGTTTAACGCAACAGTAAAATGTGTACTTGGATGAAAAAACGATTCTTCGCGGCAGGGGATCGTATTCCAGGGACCATAGGATTAAGGACTTGCCCGAAACGCTACGCGTACTAGTGGCTCTACAACCATGTAACAACTCTTCTATATATCTCAAAAAAAAAAAAAAAAGTATATTTCCATCTTGCTTTTCATACAACCGGTAGGCCGGATAACCCAGTGATAGGCCGGATAACCCAGTGATAGGCCGGATAACCCAGTGATAGGCCGGATAACCCAGTGATAGGCCGGATAACCCAGTGATAGGCCGGATAACCCAGTGATAGGCCGGATAACCCAGTGATAGGCCGGATAACCCAGTGATAGGCCGGATAACCGGCCTATCACTGGGGATAACCATCACTGGGGATCATCACTGATCACAGACCATCACTGGGGATAACCCAGTGATGGTCTAGAGTAGCCATAGCTTGTACAGTTATATGTCTTATCTGAACTGAGTATAAGCTTGAAGTACCACTCTTATCTCCACCTCAGACCCAGGATCTTGGAGAATGTCTCCACGACCAAGGTTGCCTCCGGCCAAGATTTGCGAGAGCTTGTCAATGAGACGGGTGGCCTGGACCTTGTGGTGCCAGAGAGCAGGTGGCACTTACTCTCCCAGTCCCTCAGAGCCGCCCTCCAATACGAGCCGTCCGTCACTGTGGCAGACACCACCACAGAGGTCAGCAAGCCTGCAAACACGAATTATACTAAGTTTCGTAAACCACCTCTCCCACACCCCTCAAAGGGGTTGGAATAGCCTAAGCTACTTTATCCCTTTGATATGTATTTTATTTGTTTTAATAAACGTACTTGAACTCAACTCCCTCCAAATCTTTCTTTCTATCTCTGGGTTTCATCGCAGATCTACGAAGCAGAGGCCAATGCCAGCAAATCGGACAGTTTTTACGTAGACAGGAGTATGGGTCGTGACCTGACCTTTCTGCTCTACACTGATGACTTGGACCAAGTAACCAACGCAAGTCTCATCAGTCCAAGTTCAAGCCTCATACCAGGACGTTTCGACGACGTGACGCGGACTTGGAGTATTACTCTCCCCGAGGCCGAGGTAGAACCCCACGGGAATTTACACTTTAATAGTTGAATAATGTTATTATTAACAATAATTGTGTTGCTATTTATACTGTAGATAATTCTGATTTATTTCTCAACACTCATATTGTACATTGAAATTAAAATATTTGATTTGTTCTGAAAATATTGTATATAAAGACGCAGGATCTCTCTCTCTGTACACACGACTCACAACTGATGACGTCCGAACACTTCCGGAACAAGTGCTTCGCTGACGACTTGTGTTCGAACCACAACGCTGTAAATGCTTCACCCACGTACTACAAATACAAATAATCGCCAACAGAACCTAAACACCTAACCTAACCAATACCTAAATATGCACAATATGCTAATATATAATAATATTAATGTATATGTGAGAAAAATTATGTTTTGAATGAACAGCATGTTAAAACTGATGAATGGGTCTTTGGGGTCGACCGCTGGATGGAATGGACCTGGTCTGAGG